AGAAATGTACGGGTCACTACAGAAGTGACCAAATTCATCCGACTAGAAACGTCCCCACTCTATTTTTTTCCACGGCCAATAGGTGGGCCTAGTACTGGTGCTTTAAGCTTTGACTGGGCTCTCTTAGGGCCAATGGGCCATAGGCTACACCCTCTCACAACTCATCTTCTCCAACTTGTTTCTCTGTACCTTCTCTGTCCGTCTTCCCTCACCCATGGAGGGAAACTAAAAAGTAATGTGTGTGGAACAAGGTGCGAGACAGTGTAGGTGCTGCGCTTGGGCACTTGGCGATGATAGGAAGGAGTGCTGATGTGGCACAGCTGCTGACTTGACAATTGCTGGGCCCAGTCATGTGCCCGACGTTTCAATCGTTGCCAACACTGATACCAGTGTTCGGAATACGCTCAAGGGCCTGCATAGATCATCTGTATAATCAACTGGCCAACTACTGAAGGGGCTGTCATATGCCTGATATCCAGCCTCAACAACAACTGCCCAAAAACAAAAACGGGGGTAACTAGGGCGCAGTCAAAAAAAAAAAAAAAAAAAGGGCGCAGTCACGAAAACAGTTTCTAAATGCATTTCAAACTGCATTTTTCAATTCCAGTCCCGTCGGAAGTTTACTATGCCGTCGAAAGAAACTCCGCGTTGCAGAAAAGTCGCACCGCCGAGTTTGGAACTGCAGGTCAGTCAGGCAGGTGGCAAAATGAGGGGGCAGATAGAGCCCTCTGCTTACAAGCAATCGATCTGGGCGTTCATTTTGTGATTTTGCGATTTTGAGGGCCTACGGGTAGTGTGAGTATGCCCTGAGCATCCAAATGTGAAAGTGTTTCATGCAGAGATGCAGAAAAGCAGATCAATTGCGATTTTCCGCACCTCTCCCCAAACACGTCCCAGATTCATGGCATTTAATCCAACCGTATTTGCTAGCTGGACATCGCCCCTGGGTGCCCTGCTGCCTGGAGCACTATGAATCAGTCGGACTCAGGAGTAGTGCAGTAAGCAGCGAGCTCTTCTTCTTCTTCTTCTTTTTTTTTTTTTTTTTTTTTTTTTTGTTGGTGCCATTGTTGTTGTTGTTGTTGTTGTTGTTGTTGTTGTTGTTGTTGTTGTTGTTGTTGTTGTTGTAATCTGTGAGTTCTCTCACTGGCTAATGCTGTGCCCCACTCTCCTTGTCCAGGGTCTAAAACTAACACTGCCTAGCCTGCAGCCTAGGTCCACTAAGGGCATACTCATTTTTTTATATTTTTTTTATGGGTCCTCAAAATAGCAACATCGCAACATGAGAGGCCAGATCGAGCGAGGCCTTGAAATGGCGGGGAAGGACTCGATCTGGCCGCTCATTTTGCGATTTGCCATTTCGAGGGTCTAGTGCGAGTATACTCTAAGGGCACACTCAGACTACCGTCTTCACCCCCGAATAGAACGCCTGGTAATTATCGCCGTATCTGGGCAGAAAATTGTGCCAAACAAGGACTCCATCTGGCCGCTCATTTTGCGACTTTGCAGGTTTGAGGGCCTACCTACCAATAGCGTGAGTATGCTCTAAGACTTCCAACTGAAGTCTCCTGAAAAGTAATTGGTGAGTATTACTTGCTTGGTGTCCTACTAGTTTTCCACGTTTCTTTGCTCGCAAAAATTCTGCTACCTAGTACCCTAGCTGTTGGTTTCAGAGTACCTCATTGACTGAGAGTAATTTGTCGGTGTTTCGCCTACCGTCCGTGATTTTTTAGAATTTTTGCCGTTTTTGGTGGTTGTTTTTTTTTTGCACTTGTGGGACTGTTGTTCTGCATTATTAGGGTTTGTTGCTATCACCTTGATCTGTGTGTGTTTTGCTGCATTAGCCGAAGCTGGGTAATGGCCCCGGTACTGTATGAATACAGTATGGGACGTTGGGCCCGGTTCCCAGCAAGTGCTGCTCCCCCCAAATAGAGAAAAAAAAAAGAAAAAA